ATGAGGGACTGTATTTAAAGGGCCCAAGAGCTGATGGTTGAGGACTATGGATATTTATGCTTTAATCTTTCTAAATTTGTTAGAAATTTAATTTCACAATACAAGTAAACCTGGAGATCATAATATGATTCTTAGGTACTATAAAAATGAGGCATACATTTTTTGTAATTTGAGTTAATCATTCACCCTCTCGCCCATTTGATATTTAAAAAAACACTAATATGATATTTCCAAATAGTGATCAAGTTTTCAAGGAATAATTACTGTCTATATACTATCACTTTAGAAGGCAACCGACTATATAATCTTTTTTGTTGTACTTTATTTACTAGAGGCCCAGTGCATGAAATTCAGGCACTCGGGGGAGTCCCTCAGCTCAGCCTGCGCCCTCTCACATTCCGGGAATCCTCAGGGGATGTCTGACTGACAGCTGAGGCCCGCTCTACGCAGAGAGCGGGCCTAAGCCATCAGTCGGACATCCTTAGCGCTGCCACGGAGGCGAGAGAGGCTCCTGCCACCACTGCTGCGCTCGCCAGCTGAGAACCTGGCTTCTGGCTGAGTGTTGCTTACCCTGTGGAGCACACTGACCACCAGAGGGAAGTTCCTGCATTGAGCGTCTGCCCCCTGGTGGTCAGTGCGCATCATAGTGACCAATGGTTCCACCATTCAATCTATTTGCATATTAGCCTTTTATTATATAGGATTATTATTACTAGTGTTCTATTTTATAATTACTGGGCTTTATAGCTTCCATAGAAAGTGATCATAAATTATGAATTATATCCAGCATTAAATTTTATATTATTATGTCCAAGCTATATTATTAAAAGAAAACTATGAAATTAGATTTAGGCACATGTATCATTTATTATTTTGTCTTTTAACCAACTTCAAAAGACCTATTAAAATTTTTAGCACATATTTTAGTGATTAAGAAAGTAAAGGGTGACAGTTGAAGTTTATTGCAGTTGCCAGGGAGGCAGGGTTAACTTGAGAAGTATTGTTTAGATAGCACTTATCTTCTTCCAAACACACATGCACATTTATAGGGAAACTCCTTCACTTGTTGCCTGCTGTCGGACCTTTCAGTGTTCAAGACACTTGTTCCTTCACATATAGGCCAAAGGAATATGATCACACTTGAAAAACTTAAGAACTTATAATTCAATAGCACAGTAAAAGAAGCACATAATTACAGAACTAAAGGAAAAGACATGCCAAGTATCAGAAACACACCTCCTGGATCCTATCATGCTAAGTACTAATTATTCCAAAGATAGGGTCACGAAGAAAGGCACTTTACCTGGTTGACTCACTGTATCTCTGATCCATTACAATAAAAACACATTTGCATCCTCTATATTCTGGTCCCTTTCCAAACCAAGTAAATCACTTCACCCCTGTTTCCAGGCTGCCCCACACCCACAGCTGTCAGGCAATCAGGCTAAAGGCTTACTCTCGCTGACACCACATTAACATTAAGTGGGGGGGGAACCCTTTCAAAAATAGAGCAATTTATTTCCCTCCTCATTTATGAATTGTCAAATGCCTAAAATTTCCCCAGCTTGTTAAAGATAATCATACTAACCAATTTGCCTGGTGTCTTTCAATGGAGCATCAATTATTTCGCTGCAAGACCCATCCCTATTGTATATCTTAAAACCCCTGCCTCCTGGATGAATCCGAGACAAAGAATCTTGGGGGAAAAAGTCTTGAAAAAGAGAGAAGCATTCAGGGGTCCTGCAGTATGGCTTAAGTGTGGCACTGTCCACCAACAGATCTGAGCAGCCGGCCCCTCTTCGGGAAGGTGGTTCTCAAAACCGGCAGGAAAAGCTTCGAGGCAGGAGCTCCCAGGCTGCACCCTGCCTCTCAACAACACTTGAACAGGCTTGTGCACCTACTTGATAAATGGAAGCACTACTTGCTTCTCTCCCAAGCTTGCCGGGGCCCTCTTGGATGTTTTTCTTGACTCTTTACCAAAAATGCAATTGGCAGCCAGCTCCCAGAAGACAATGCAATATGACTTGTTCATTCAAAGAACCCTTAATTAGCATCCCATCTCCTTTCTGAGATACAATAGCTTATTTTTACACACTGAATACATTTCCCCCGCTTTTAGGAGAATGTAGAAAAAGAGACCAGATAAGTGTGGGTGCTTTTGAATATGAGGTGGGGGAGCTCTGCAAGTGTAGTTGTATCTAAGAGCACAAGTTCATGTTTAAATTATTTTCATGAACAGCTTTTTAGGGTTTCTCCATTGTGGTGCTAACAATGGTATGATAGATGCAGAAAATGCAAGGAAGGAAAATGCTCTCTTACAGATACAATTGTGAAGCTACAGTAAATGTAGGTGATTCAAAATAGCATGTTCAAAATAGCATGTTACCTTGCAGAATATAACCCCAAATCACCACTATTCTTTTGCTAACCGGTCTAATCCTTTCAGTAAAATTATCTATTAATTTCAAGAATTCGTGATTTGGAGGGGGGGAAAAAGGTTTTCAGTGGATCGTATGTCCCTTGTGCAAACAAGTAATTAGCAAACCCTGACTATAAAGATTCTGGACATCAACCAGTCCTTCATAATTAGTGGTTCATAGCCAAAGCAGGATGCAATGCAAACTCATAATTTTATGATCTTTTCTTTCTTTGACCTTCCTTCTTGCCCCCACCACGATAGAGCTATTTGGGTATAAAGAAGAAAGTCCAGCTAGCTGTTTAGTTGCCTGGGAAAAATATTTTTTAAAATTTACTTTCTGCCAGCACCAGTTTGGCTCAGTGGATAGAGCATCAGCCAGCGGACTGAAAGGTCCCAGGTTCGATTCCAGTCAATGGCATATACCTTGGTTGAGGGCACATCCCCAGTGGGACATGTGCAGGAGGCAGCTGGTCGATGTTTCTCTCTCATCGATGTTTCTAACTCTCTATCCCTCTTCCTTCCTCTCCGTAAAAAAATCAATAAAATATACATTTTTCAAAAATTTACTTTCTTTTTAAATTCTATGCATTTAAAAATCAAAGAGATTTTGCTCTATGAACTAAAGTCCTGTATCATCACATAGAGAGTGGCTCTAATTAAATAAAAAGAAGATGGGCTGTTTTCATTTGAGTACATTTGCATATGAGAGGGATAGAATGGGTCAGATTGTCTACTGTTATTACACTGTAGTTAGTCTTATTCTTTGTTTTCTAAATGAATATTACCAACATAGTATAGCAATTTAATATTAAAAGTACCTTCACTAAGAGATCATTCAATCCCTTTCAGAATCATTTGAGTTAGGTAGAGCAAGTAGCAAGTATTATTATTATTACTATTATTATTACTAGAGGTCTGGTGCAGGGGGGGAGGGGTTACGGGGGAGGGGTCTCTTAACCCCGCCTGTACCCTCTCCAATCCAGGGCCCCTCAGGAGCTGTCTGACTGACAGTTTAGGCCTGGTCCCATAGGGATTGGGTCTAAACCAGCAGTTGGACATCCCTCTCACAATCCAGGACCACTGCTCATAACCACTCAACTGCCTGCCTGCCTGCCTGTTCTCCCCTAACTGCCTCTGCCTGCCTGTCTGGTGCCCCTAACTGCTCCCCTGCTGGCGTGATCACCCTTAACTGCGGACCCAGGATTCCCTCCTCCAGCTGGTCGCCGGCACCCAGGACCCAGGTTTCCCTCCCTCTGGCTAGCTGCAGGCACCCAGGACCCAGGCCAGCTTCACCCGGGCTGGCCACAGCTGCAGGTAACTGTGGGCGGGCAGCTTCACCCTGGCCACAGCCGCAGGCGCCAGTGCTTAGGACCAGGAGGCGGGCAACTTGTCCCTCTACTGGGCTGCAGCTGCAGGCGCAGGTGCAGCTGTTGGTGCCCAGAACTGTGGGGCGGGTGGCTTGTCCCTCTCCTGGGTCGCAGCCTGGCTGGTCCCCATTCCTCTCTCCCCAGTGTTGAGTGTCTGAGCTTTACAGCATGATGGCATGAGGGTGTGGCAACCGTTTGCATATTAGCTTTTTATTATATAGGGTATCTTTTTATAACAGAGGAAACTGAAACCCAGATGTTTTGCTAGGGGTCTTTGGGAAAATTCCCTAGGGGGCTAGGACCCTCTGAGCAAATATTACTTTATAAATTCAACTTGTCCAATCTCTATCTCTTACCTGCACATTTGTCTCAAGCTCTAGACCAGTGATGGCGAATCTATGACACACGTGTCAGAGGTGACATGTGAACTCATTTTTTTTGGTTGATTTTTCTTTGTTAAATGGCATTTAAATATATAAAATAAATATCAAAAACATAAGTCTTTGTTTTACTATGGTTGCAAATATCAAAAAATTTCTATATGTGACACGGCACCAGAGTTAAGTTAGGGTTTTTCAAAATGCTGACACGCCGAGCTCAAAAGGTTCGCCATCACTGCTCTAGACAGTTATTTCTAGACACTTAGTAGACTTAACCATCCAAAGGTCTCCAGGAGTCTTAAAACTTAGATGAAAGATGGAACTCACTTTCTTCTCTCACAAATCTTCCCTTGCTGCCCATCTAGGTTCATGACATCCTCCTCCAGTTGGTCTCCCAGCCAGACATCCTGAATCAAACTCTCTCTTATTCCTTCCCATTCCATCAGAAACTAAATACTGTGTCTTCTATCGCTGAAACAACTTTCAAATCTGTCCCCTTTTCTCAGTACACTCTTCCATTGCCTTAATTCTGCACCTCATTACCTGTTACCTGGACTGTTACTACAACTTCTAACCTATTTCCCTGCTTCCTCTTGCTTTTCTTAAATCCGAATCCTGTATCCTGCCACAAATTATATTCCTAATATACAAATTACATCATGTCACTCCATTTCGAAACATCTTTAGTGGCTCCCTGCTGCCTATATAATGAAGCCAAAAGTTTTGTTTCGTTTTTAGTATAGCTCTATATTTTCTGGCACAACTTAGCATTCCAGTCTCATCTCCCTTCATGCCCTACTACGCTACGCTCAAGCCCACCAAACTGCCGGACCCAGGCAGGCTGTGTGGCCCCCTGTCTGTCTTTGCGTGCCAGTGCGCTGCCTGCATTGTTTCCTGTGGGCACCTACTCACTCATCAGGACTCTATTAAAAAGCTGTAAGACTTTGTATGAACTATTTGGACAAAGAAATGTAATGAAAATTCATCTTTTCTATAATTTTATCAGAGAGACAAAGGAAGGGAGTGAAAGAAGGGAAAACAGAATATGATTTTTATATGACTTTTTGAGATTAAACTTTGCGGAGTGCTGACGAGGTCAATCAATGGGATAAATGAAATTTATAAGTCAAGTCACACAGCTCACATGAAAGATGCATGTAAATACTATAGAGAAAGAATACAGCTGTATATACTTGAGAGAAGTATTATGTTAGGCCAAATCACCAAGTAATTCCCTCACTTTATGAGAGAGAAATGTGGTACTTTACTGCTCTCTGAGGCCAACCGTGGGTTGCTTGCTCTCTAATGTCTTGCATCAGTGTTTGCCCTGTTATGCTGGGGCAATAATTAAGTGCATGAGCTTTGGAATCAAATAAACCTGGATTAAAATTTGGCCTCCGTCACTCACTAACTTTGAGGCTTTAGGCAAATGGCTTACCCTCTCTGAGCATCTCGTTTCTCATCCATAATAGAGGGCTAACAAAACTGACTTTGTAGAGTTAAGAGTGAAAATAATTAGATTAATGTATGAACTGTACTTAGCACATACTTTTAATAAATGGTAGTCAGTAGAAAATATTTTCCACAGTCTATGTAATATAATTTACAGCTACTTCCTATCTTTCTTAGAAAGGGATGAGAGGGGCATCAAGTGACTCCCTGAGATGGTCTAAAGATTCTGGAAATGTGCAAATGCTATTTCCATTTTTGGACTGAATCAATTCCAGCTTTGTAATAATTCACGTTTAAAAGAGTTTGAACACTGTGTTTTTAATGTTCTCTTTCTTGCAGGAGGAATTCCCTTCTTCTTGCAATTTATCTAAAGGAAGGAACTGAAATTTACCAGCCGTACAATCTCTTCTCTTTCATGAAATATAACTGATTTTTCAGCTTTATTTTGGAAGTTTTTGTTTATATTCATTTTATTAAAAAACTATACGAATATTGGTATTATTAAATAAGAGCTGGAAATTCTTCATTTATTTATTTAAAAAGTATAAAGGTTCATGAAAACATAAAGCCTGGGAATTTCTAAAGATAACTCCACCTTCATTTTTTTGGGAGGAAATGATTTTTGTCTATTCTAAACAATGACGCTTAACACAATTGAAAGTTGGCACATTTTCGGTAAACAGCACTTTCCTGGGAGTGTAAACTCTGCTGCATTTTTCTTCTGAGCCAGACTTCTCAGTATCATTTTGATCTGTAAAACATCAAGCGTTTCCTCTATCGTAATATATTTACATCTTCAGAGAGTCTGGATGGAAAGGAATTTTATTTTAATTTAATGAATAACCAACAATGAAAAAGAAATTTTGCGGCAATATTTGGGATTATGACTGGCAGAGGGGCAATCCACATAGAAAATCACACATAGAAAACATGATATATTTAACTTCGATATTTCCAGAAGATATATCCCAGACATTTGAAAAGAGAAGAGGCTAAAAATGGTAAGAAAAAAAATAATACTTTTCCAATTTCTAAATTTAGTCAAAGAGAAAAATAAAAACCTCAATCACCCTTTAGTGTGATCATTACTATTATTTTTAAAATCTAGCTTTCAACATATCTACTTCGCATTCCCTACGAAGAACGTGAATTCTGAGAGTGGTACCGAAGGGTAGCTCCAGCTGTGAGAAGGTTGAACAATAAAGAACAAGAGGTGTTCTCTTCCTTTCCAGACACAGAATGGAAAGCCCTGAGCATCACCAGTGAACCAACTCAGCATCACATTGAAATGCAGATTCAGCTCCTGCAGCCCTTCTGTTAGAATGCCAACCTTGGTCTTGGGGACAAAGGAGAAGAATTGGAGCGTTGGCATATTCTCCAAGTCTCATCCTTACTAGACACTTTTAAAATATGTCACATGTTAGCTTCTAGGGAATGCTTTCTGACTAACCAACAATCTTAGCTGCTTCTATCCTGATGAAAGAAATCCTGGTTCAAGAAGAAGTTAAAGCACTAAAGATATTTCTTACCCTTTCTATGCAAGTGAACAAATACATCATAGGATTTGAGGATTGAAATGCTCAGTGCTTTTTCCAATGTTCATACTATATGGTTTTATTTTTAATCAAAGAGGATATAGAATTAGTAAGGGTATGACTGTGCTTTGAGCAAACAAAGTATTGAGAAAATTATATTCCGAAACAAAGTGGGCAGGGGTAATGCATTCTACTCAGATCTAGGAAATGTTGGTAAAAGTTCCATATTGTTTGCTTTCATCCCTCTGTAGGTATCATTGAACTGATTTTTGGTTTCTATTGTTGCTATTGCGAAGCCATTTGTCAGTTACTCTGGTTGTTAATATCATCTCCATTCAGGTGTCTAGTTGCAGATTTATTTTGAGTTATCCAGCCTAGGGTTTATTGTGCTTTTCAAAAGTGAGAGCTTATGTCTTTCATTAGTTTTAGAAAATCCATGACCATTATTTCTTCAAATATTACTTCTTGTTTTATATTCTCCCATTTCTTCTCTATAAGACACATGTTGGCCATTTAAATATTACCCTCTCTGTAAAATAAACTCTCTTTCATACTTTTGGTCATTTCAAGTTTCTAGATAATTTTCTTAGCTCTCTCTTTTTTAATCCAGTAATTGTTCAGCTGTGTCTAGCCTACTATTAAACCTGTTTAATGAGATTTTTCTTTTTCATAATAGTGTCTATATAGTAATTATGTCTAGGACTCTTTGGTTTAAAATTCTCCCTAGTCTTTTTAAATTGTAACTTTCTCTTTCCATTTGAGTTTATTATTTTATAACGTGTGTGCTTAACTACAAAAATAGAGCTTATACTGTATAGCTTCTATCATTCAATTTTTTGGTGGGTCTATTTCTATTACTTGTTGCTTCTTCTGATTTTCCTTATATTGTTTTACTTGTGTGTCTCACAATGTTGACTTATGAGTTTGTTTGGTTGGGCTTTTTCTGTGGAAATCCTGTGAACTAGATGCTGAGAGTGGAGGCATCCAAAAAGGTTTTGCCTTTGTTTCTGTTAAGTGCCACAGAGCCTTACCAACCCAGTATTACTTTTTATATAAATTACTCCACTTGGCATTTCCTGGCTTTGAATTCTGAATACTCAAGAGACCCTTTTAATTTATCCCAAGAGAAGCCTGGACTAAGATAGATTAATTTCCTGCTAGAGTCCTATTTTGGTAGGCGGGTTTATTTTCCTGGTTCACCTTTTCACTAAAGGCCCAGCCCTTGCAGGTGCTCCCTTTATGGAAAGTCTTAGTTCTAACTCCTGGCTTCTGTGAGCCACAGGCGTGGTCTCCATTTCTTGTGTTGTCATTAAAACACAAGTAACCTGTAATCCTCTGGTTTTATGCCTTTTATTCTGTTTTTAATTGCTGGGATTTTCTTCACATTATTTTTTCAAGCTCTGCTGCACCTGTTATTTCATATTTTACCCAGTATAACTGGTTTTGTAATGGAAGGTTTTTCAGGTTATCTTGTCTGCCATATTATCTAAGTTCCATGGATGTATATGCACTTTTAACTTTGAAGAATATTTTCCTATCATGAAGGCAAAATGTCATGAATATTAAACAACAGTGCAGGAATTGTTAGTGGCTTAATATGTTTGATAGATTGAGAGTGGGTGAAACTGCTGAGAATGTTATGGGTCATTTTCGTTATGCCACCTCAGGCTTTCATATAAAATTCATAGAAACGCATTTATTTAGTAAACCATGTAGCTAATTAAGTATATACCTTCATCTCCTGGCCAAATAATATATATTTTTTCCAAAATAAATTTCAGAAAAAAATCCTTCATCTATTGTAGCAAAAATGGAAAAAAAAATAATAAACTTTAAAAAACTTATAAATTGGTGTTGTGAGTCTGGATTTTCTTGATTAGCAGTTGGATTATATTATACTCAGGGTTGCAAGTTGTCAAAGGAGTATAAGGGGAAATTCAGTATTCTTAAATTCTATTATCCTGGGGAAGCCCTGTTGTAGTAATTTTGACAAGAAAACCAAAAAAGCTGACTAAAATCAGACTGTAAACCATGCCAACAGGATGACAAAATGCCCTAAAATGTAAGTAGTGCCTAGGCCAGCACCTTTTGGGAATTACACAATTTTACTTTGTTATTATTATTATTATAGGCCCAATGCATGAAATTCACGCTACCTTGATACTTCCTCACAACCATAGGCAGCTGCTTGGATCCCTCCCTCATAGCTGCAGTGGCTGCAGCCCTGGCTTCGTCCTGGAAGGATGTCCGGTCTAATTAGCATATTATACTTTTATTATTATAGATTATTGATAGTATTACAGATGTCTCCCATTTCTCCTCCTTTACCCTTCTTTGCCCAATCCGTACCCCCACCCTCAGGTCTTTACCACCCTGTTGTCTATGTGACATACCTCCATGTGGGGGTGGGGGACAAGGAGAGAGAAACACAATTTTATTTTTATGATGCAAAGTACAGAATGAGTATTCTTGTCCATAAGTTAGATCCTTAGAAAAGATGACTCGTATGGAAACAGAATCTAATTTTGGACTTCTTTTTATAAACATCTTGAGTAAGTTGCTTGGATTTTATAACTTCTTTCAAATCTCACTTTCTTAGTGAGGCTCATCCACTATATAACACTGCAGCTTATCCTTCCTTTTCAGCCCCTCCCTACAGCCCAGCACACTCATGCTACCTTTTTCTATAGTATTTATCCTTTCTAATATATATTTTTTATTTTTTATTGATTTCAGAGAGGAAGGGAGAGGGAGAGATAGAAATATCAATGATGAGAGAGGATCGATTGGCTGCCTCCTGCACACCCCACACTGGGGATTGAGTCTGCAACCCAGGCATGAGCCCTTGATCAGAATTTAACCTGGGACCCTTCCGTCTGCAGGATGAAGCTCTATCCACTGAGACACACCGGCCAGGCCCTTCTAATATTTTAATAAACATATTACGTTTATTGTTTTTGTCGGTCTTCTCTGCCAACTCCAAGAGAGTTAAAAATCTACCAAGAACATAAATCTTTGTGTGTTTTGCTTACTAATATATTTCCAACAACTAAAATAGTATTTGCCACATAGTAGGTGCAAAAATTACTTGCTATACAAATGAATAATTTTTTATTTCATTGCCTATAAATCAGGGTGATAATTCCTGGTCTATCTTTTCCTTACTGAGACATGTGGATGCATAGGAGAATTGTGTATCCAATATATATTGATTTATCTGGGAAGCATAAAGTGACCTATTATTTAAATGTCTTAAAGTGTCCATCTTAAATCCATTATTAAGTACATGACAATTTTTCTTATACAATATGTCTTCTATAGCAATAGAAAATATATAACATTTAGTACTTGGATAAAGGTCATACCTCATTTTTTTCTTTGAGTTTTGTGATCATAACAATCACAGGGCTATCTTCCTGCCAAACCATCTGCCAGAAATCATTCACGGTGTTGATCATGGGGCCCTGCGTGGCGATGAACGCTTTCTCTCTGCCGCTGTAGCCCTAGTGTGAGTAAAGATACAAAAGATTGGCTCTGAAGTGCATGCCGTGCACTGACAATTTAGGTAAAATATCTCAGAACAAAATGGCTCTGCTCGTCCAAAAGCAACACAGATTTCTGTGGCTTTACTGATCCCAGCAGCACAACCCACATGACTGTTCTCCCAGCAAGCCAAGCATGGCGCACGGTGTTGCCTGTCAAAATGCTTCGTCCTCACCAGAGCACCCCAGCCAGGCACGCACAGGAAAGGAGGACTCACTGTAAAATACCCGCTACCAATGTTGGTTATGACTAAGCAAACAACAACAAAGAACTTGCTCTAACCAAGTTAAGTTAAAACTAACTTATTCTAAGGAAAAAAAAATATAACCTCAAAGTCCAAATAGTACGTTGACATGCTCATCAGAAAGAAATGATATTTATTTACTTACCCTGATATAATTAGCATTAATGTAGGTGCTCAATGAATCAGTTACATTTTTTGGTCTTAAACACACTCTGCTGAGGGGATCTAATGAAGAAAACAAGAAAGAGTATGTTAAACCGATATATTTAATGTGTCTACATTAAACACATTACTCTTTTTAAAGTTTCTTAGAACATCAGCAACCAGTACATAGAACACCGGTTAACTTACATATTGACTGGCTGACGTGTGCCAGTGTTTGTTGTCGTGTCTGTGTGTCTGTGTCTTGATGCATCTGTGTTTCTGAAGGGTCATTTGGGCCCATGTTGATGCCTGTTCCTGACTTAAATCTCACCCACAAGCCTGAGATGGTGAGTTTATACTTCATGTTATTTATTTGTGGGTTCGTGATTCTTGATCCCATTTCTCATGTGTGTTCCTTTTCTTGTTCTTTGGGTTTAGAATTTGACCCGCTCGTCCTACTTTTCTCTCTCTTCTGTCCTGCCCAACGACAAACGATTGTCTGACTCAAATCCCTCTCACTACGTGGAAGAAGCTGTCTTCAGTTACCATGTGTTTGTTCACTGACAGCTCAAATATCTGATACTGAATAGATTATTATAATGTCTTAAATTCTAACACCACTTTTCATCAAAAAGTTGAAAGATTCTAAGTATTTCCCAAACTGCTATCTGTAAATCATTTCTTCTGTAACATGTAGAATTAGGTCATATAATTTATAAATGAGCTAATTCTTTATGGACCATGGCGCTATGGAAACTATGATAGTTATTTTTTTAGCAACATTTACATAAATGAATTAAGATCAAATCATGCCTTTATGATTTCTTTAACCTGGCACATGCTACGCTTCTTGAAGGCAAGATGGAGAATTTTTACTCTCTCTCTAAGACTCAGTGTCTAGCACAGTGCTTAAATATACACGGAGTGGCCAGATTATTATGATCACTTGACGTTTGTAGGTAAATTAGCTATAATTTCATGCTGAAGTTGCTAGAGGGCCAGACCATTATAAATAGGGAAGCAGGTTGTTTACCACAACAGTAGAAGTGATTTTTTTCTGAAGATATGGGTAAACAACACGATTTAACAGCCTTTGAATGTGGGATATACTATAGCTGACACTCAATAAATGTCTATGTATTGATTTAAATTGTCCCTTCCATTTCCTAAAGCTAGTTTTATATTTTCCTCTCTAGCAGTTGTTCTATTGTTCTTCAGACAGGCAAATTCTGAGAGCTTTTTATACCCACTGTTCCTACCTCCTCACCTACCTTTCAAGTCTCATGTACATTCTAATCTATCTGATAATGGTAATGTTAGGTATGCAGACACCGCTCTTGTTCATGCCACACAGACCATTTTGTTACTGAACCAAATGAGCTCAATGTGAGTTTTTTTCATGACCTCTCTGTGGCATTCAAAGAATATTGACCATATATTTTTTTTAAGTTCTCTCTTCCTTTGGATTCTGGGTCACAACATTCTGATTTTCCTGATAACTCTTTGAAGGTCTGTTTTCAATCTCCTGCTTGTTTCATCTGCCTCCCTCCTCTAAATCTAGGATTCAACTTGGCCCCCTTCTATGCTCATTTGACACTGTTTTGTTAGGTAATTGATTCATTCCCATAACTTTAACTATTAGCTATATCCTGAAGACTCCAAAATGTTTATCTTAGACTAGACTACTCTCCTCAGTTATAGGCCAGGTTTTTCCATTTATTTCTTCTGGATATACCACAGGCTTGTGAAATTCCACATGCGCCATGCGTTCCTGTTAGCCTTCTGTTATTCTTTGTTGGATGTGCTCCCACAGCTCCAGAGCCCATGTTGGAAAACTAGTTGACCTACTGGGCTTGACCCTCCACATCCAATTACTCATATTCTCTCTGTTCTATCTCCTAACATGCTCTGGGGTCTGTTTTTCTTCTCTCTTCCCGTGGCTGTCTTCTTAGACTAGGACTTGAGCATGCCATCTTTTCGTATTGCTTTCAATTGCTGCCAAGGTGGTCTGATCACATCATCCTGCCTAAATGCCATCCCTGGATCCTAATTGCCACAGCAGTATTTCCCAAACTGTTATCTATAAATCATTTTTTCTGTAACAAGTAGAATTAAGTCACATAATTTATGAATGAGATAATTTTTAAAAAGAAGTTTAATTAATCAAATCAATATAGGAGACACTGGACTTAAAGTAGAACCTCATCCCTTTTACTGCAGGTCTCTTCACCGTCTTTATTATGCTACTGTACCTTGTGAATTTCTGGAACTATTACATATAAATTTATTTATCCATTGATCTCATTTTATTATGAATCCTTATTGACAATCCAGGCAGCCTAGAGCAGCATCATCCAATAGAACTCTCTGTGATAATGGTAAAGTCTTCCTCATTCTCTAAGGTTCAATACAAGAAATACATTCTTTCTGAAGCCTTCCCTGGAATTCAAGCATTCCTGTTTGTGCAGGCTCTCTCCTATTTTAGTATTTACCATCTTATATTTCAGATACTTACATTTCTGCCTTCCCTCAATGGATTTCGGTGAGCCCCATGAGTGCAAGAGCTATATTTAATTAACTTTTGTCTTTTTTGTGATTTCTATTTGGAACATGGTTCATAGAATGTTTAATATCAGAATTTATTGTTATTAGAAAGAGTAAAACACTGCTTTGGCTTTCAATATATATATTTTCTTAGCAAAGGGAACGGGAAAACTCATTTCTTTTCAGTATCCACTGATTATTAGAAGTTTCCACAGACACCCTACACCACTCAGAATTGAAAACGCCTATTTCCTTCAACTTTTATAATGTCTGCAATGTATATGATTTACTCAATGCTTTAAACTTCTTAGAAGCAGGTTCCCTGTCAAGCTAAGTTAAGTTTATGTTGAAAATTGTTAAGTTATAGTATTTAAAAGTATTTAAAGGTTTCCAAATACATATTTTTAAAAACAAGAATACAACATATGACTGAATAGTAGAAAATGTAGGGTTCCAACCAAAGCCTTTTTAATGTTATCTTGGACTAATAAACAGCCAAAGATTAAAAATTTATTTTATCATCATCAACATTTTAATGTGATTATTTTCATCACCACTGTTATAAATTTTCATGGTATGCATTTATGTCTACATATTAGTCAAATTCACTATAATAATCTTTATCAGAATTGATATTTCTAGGTTATGTGTTCAATATTTAGCATATCATTATGATACTTCTGGGCAGTATAAGTAACAATTACAAGTATTATTTGAACACTGGTCAATTTCCTTCCTCTCTTCTGCTCCTTTTCAGTTTCTTCCTTCTCTCTTCTAGATCTTTTTTTCTTATTTATCCCCCCCCTCCCTCCCTCCCTCCCTCCCTCCATTCTTCTTCACTTCCTCTCCTCCCTTCTTCACTCATCCCTGTTTCTTTTTTTCCCTCTCAACAAATTATTCAGCACATACAGATTTGGAAAATTGAACATGTGAACTTTCCTCACCCTGGTCTCTTTAAAATACTTTCTGGCAATCTTAAGTCTCCTATTTAACAGGCAGAAACGATACCTGGAACCTGGCATTTTGATTGGCAACATATAAGATTTTATCAAAGACTATTCTGTGCTTAAGATTTCCTCTCCAAGAAGAAATGTGTTTGAAGTTTGAAGTCAAGAGAAGAAACAGTTAGATAAGGAGCAAGTGTATGACTGCTAGTGGTGGGCAAAGGCAGGGGGATGAGAGGAATAGGATTGCGTTCACAGATGAATCCAAGATAAATGGGAAATGGGAGGAAAGGCAGAGACTGGCCAAACCTTCAAGGTGATTGGGAGTCATCTTCAAATTTGCTGCAGGAGAGAGAGAAGACTGTCCAATATGGCAGCCATTAGCCACATGTAGCTAATTAAATTTTAGTTAAAATAAAATGAAATTTAAAAATCGGATTCTTGGGTTCACTTGCTATACTTCAAGCACTCAGTTGCCACATGTGCCCAGTGGTTATCCCCATGGAGACATGAAACGTTCCCATCATTACAGAGAGCATTAGTGGACAGTGCTGATCTTGGCAATAAAGATGATGATTACACAGAAACTCATGTTTAAAGACCCATGTGAAAATTATAAAAGAAAACAGGGCTCTTGAATATGTTTCTTTTGCAACTGTAAGTTTTTCTCTATATAGATAGTGTCCCTACTTCCTGGAATTGGTTCTGGGATTAATGATGGATTATCTTATTTGTTAGAGAGGGAAAGCAGAAATTAACATTAGCTGAGGGCTTACTATTAGTTGAAACTTTCATAGGGATTTTACACATATTATCATTTAATTCTCCCAGTAGTCAAAGAGGGTAGCATTATTATTACTATTTTTAGGAATAAAGAAAGGATGGCACAGGAATATTAAGTAGCCTGCCTTAAATTGTAAATGTTTTACCTGGGTAGGATTTCAAGTCCAACTTCAATATTTTGCTATAGTCACATAACTTGTCTTAATAAGTAGTTAACTTACTTGCATATCTATTCTGTTTTATGTACTTAATATAATAAAACAGGAAAAATAATTTAAGACACTTTACCAGATATTAAATTTTTAAATATGAAATTATGGTCAGAACAAATATAATTCTTTAATTTATCTATATTGTTTTATATTAGCATACATAAGTTGACTGCATGAAAGAAATACACATAAAATGTATTATTATTATAATGCATTGTTTTACAAATCATTTAATATTAATATATGGTCAGTTTTCCTCCAATGCTTTTGCAATTTAGGATGTAGACATATTTTCATCACTAATGCTTGTTTATATTGCAAAATAATTTGATATAAATTTGACCTTGGCACTTTAATCAACCACTTGAGTGTTCTGAGCTGGGCTGATGCTGTCCTTAGAGAAGCAGCTACAATTTAATTTGTTCTTGGCCATCCATATTTCTGTTGCAAACATTCTCAAAGTTATTTAACCTTGCCATTATTTATAAGCTGACAAACTTTTATTTTTTATTTTTTATAAAAAATATATTTTATTGAGTTTTTCTTACAGAGAGGAAAGGAGAGAGATAGAGAGTTAGAAATATCGATGAGAGAGAAACATCGACCAGCTGCTTCCTGCACACTCCCCACTAGGGATGTGCCCGCAACCAAGGTACGTGCCCTTGACCGGAATCGAACCCGGGACCTTTCAGTCCGCAGGCCGACGCTCTATCCACTGAGCCAAACCGGTTTCGGCAGCTGACAAACTTTTAAAATTAAAAGTTTATTGTATATAAATGGACAAACAAAGTCGAAACAGAGAAACAGGTTGCCACAGGGGACGGGGGTTAGGGGATCCGGTGAAAAGGTGGAGGGATTGAGAAGTGCAGAGTAGTAGTTGTAAAACAGCCATGGGGGTGACTAAAGGAAGTATAGTCAATAATATTGTAATATCTATGTATGTGGCCAGTTGGGTACTGGAAATATCGGGGGGGGGCACTTTGTAAAGTATATGCTTGTTTAACCATTATGCTGTGCACCTGAAATATTACAAAATAATATTGAATGTTTAAAAAAGCTTATTGTAGGTCAAAACAATAAAAACAATCATAACATTTAAAATATAATCATTTGCTAATTATTTTTATGTAATATTTTAAACATATTACAGTCTAAAATAAGTCATAAAGAACAACTTTGCATATTTGTTCTAGTCTAGTTCTGGTGTGCCTTGTCCAGCCATATGGACTAAATTGTATTTTGTGCAACAGAGGGAGGGGTGGTATTCAGGCTAGAAACATTTTCAACAGAAAATCCATCATTTGGAACTTCAGTTGTCAGCACAGGTGCCCTGGCTCAAGCGACCCACCCAGTTCTGGGAATGGAAAAGCTGACACAGGTCTATGAAGCAGTTGTCTGATATCATCTGGGCAGGAAATGGAGAAGGCTGAACTTAGAAGCAACCCTAATAATTTCCAAATCCTTCTGAGATTAGATGGGTAAATATAATAACTGCAATTGAGGCAAGTTCCCTAGTTACCTAGTTTGGTAAATTTTAAATAAAAAAAGTCTTAACAGAGGAAGAGACAGCAATCCTAACACATATTAGTTTTATCCCATTCAGCTAGTTACAGTTATAAAACATCTTTCACAGTGATTATTCCTTAGTAAATAGATTCAACTAGTATATGGAACAATTAAAAATATGCTCAAGTAGGCTGACTTTAACAATGCTTTTCCAAGTCCACCAGTAGGGGAATCCCAAAGACACCATATTTCTTGCTATTACTATAGATACGGAAAATTTGTCATCTTATGAGTGAATTAATGGACTGAATTATGAAGACTCCACTATTTCAATGTCAATACCTTAAAAAATCTTGCCCAGCCAGCGTGGCTCTGTGGTTGAGCGTTAACCTATGAATCAGGAGGTCGCGGTTTGATTTCCGGTCAGGGCACATGCTGGGGTTACAGGCTTGATACCCAGTGGGGAGTGTGCAGGAGGCAGCCAATAAATGATTCTCTTTCATCATTGATCTCTCTCTCTCTCTCTCTCTCTCTCTCTCTCTCTCGCCCTTCCTCTCTGAAACCAATAAAAAAGTATTTTATTAAAAAATATATTTTATTGATTTTTTACAGAGAGGAAGGGAGAGAGATAGAGAGTCAGAAACATCAATGAGAGAGAAACATCGACCAGCTGCCTCCTGCAAATCTCCCACTGGGGATGTGCCCGCAACCCAGGTACATGCCCTTGACCGGAATCGAACCTGGGACCTTTCAGTCCGCAGGCCGACGCTCTATCCACTGAGCCAAACCGGTTTTGGCAATAAAAAAGTATTTTAAAAAAATCTTTGTGGTTCTATCGTTCCAGAGCTATTGTCATGAGATGTTTATGGATTTTGCCAAAACCCCAATGATATCTGTTTCTTTAGTGATTCAAAATGCTACTCCCTCTCCAAAGTATTTTACCATGCTAACCAAAATTAATTACTCAGTTCTGTCTACAGTCCTACATCACTTGAGCTAAGTCTCTATCTTGGCTCTTACTACATTGAATGTAATTACTCATTTACATGTCTCTCCTCTCTAGTCCATGATCTTTATCTTACAAACTGTTCCTTATTCCTTGCTAGCTCCAGGCTTCCAGCTCATATCTTAACATCTATAAATTTCATGGAGCCAAATTTAGTTTTAATAGAGTCTATAGCAGTGGTTCTCAACCTTCTGGCCCTTTAAATACAGTTCCTCATGTTGTGACCCAACCATAAAATTATTTTCGTTGCTACTTCATAACTGTAATGTTGCTACTGTTATGAATCATAATGTAATTATCTGATATGCAGGATGGTCTTAGGCGACCTCTGTGAAAGGGTCATTCGACTGCCAAAGGGGTCGTGATCCACAGGTTGAGAACCGCTGCTCTAGGCAGTGAATGGTGAAAGGGACTTGTTACTGAACTATTTTTCTTTTTCTCTGGACAGCTCATGCCTCCCCCCCCCCCCGCCATGCCTGTAATTGCCCCCATGGAAATGATCCCCTTTCAACTTGTTAATAAAATTATACAGGTTTCGGGTGCACAATTCCGCAACACATCACCTGTACACTGTATTGTGTGTTCACCACCCTAAGTCAAGTCTCCTTTCATCACCATTTATCCCCCCATCTCCTTCTCCCACTCCCCTGTATCTCCATCTCCCTGGCATTCACCACACTGTTGTCCATGAGTTACAACATTTTCTTTATTCAAAAATCAACTCCATACCTTTTAGCAGTAATTCCCATGTCTCCCAACGCTAGGCAATCATTAATGTAGTTTTTGTCTCTATAGATTTGTCTATCTGGACACTTCATATAAGTGAAATTACATAACAGAAGGTCTTTTGTAATGACTTAGTTCACTCAGCATAATGTTTTCAAGGTTCATCCATGTTGTAGCATGTATCAGTACCTCATCTCTTTTATTGCTGAATAATATTCCATTGTGTGGATACACTGCATCTTATTTATCCATTTAGCAGTTGATGGTCATTTTGGTTGTTTCCACTTTTGGGGCTATTATGAATATAATGCTTTTAAAAATGTGTGTACAGCTTTTGTGTGGGCACATTTTCATTTCTTTTGGGTATATACTTAGGATTTGGATGTCTGAGTTATATAGTAACTCTTGGTTTCACTTTTTGAGGAACTAGCAGACTGTTTCATATGTAGTTGCACTTTTCTACAATTCTACCAGGAATGTAAGAAGGTTCCAATTTCTCTACATCCTTGCCAACACTGTCTATTGTCTATCTTTTTATCATAATCATGTGGCTGTGAAGTGGCATCTCACTGTGGTTTTGATTTCCCTGATAGCTAATAATGTTAAGCATCTCTTCATGTGCTTATTGGCCAGTTATATCTTCTATGGAGGAATGTCTGCACAGGTCCTTTGCCCATTCTTAAAATTGGGTTATTATTTTTTTATAATTGAGTTGCAAGAGTTCTTATACATTTCAAATAGAATGTGTAGTTTACAAATTTTTTCCCCCAAATTCTAACTCATCGTTCTATTTTTGATGGTGTCCTTTGAAGCACAAAATCTTTAATTTTGATGGCCAAGTTATGTATATTTTCTTTCGTTGTTTGTACTTTTGATGTCATATATAGGAAATCATTGAGGCCCTGAATATTTACACTGTTTTATACTAAGAGTTTTATCTTTTACCTTCAGGTCTCTGATCCATTTTGAGTTAATTTGTATATGGTGAGGCAGGGTCCAATTTTATTTATTTATTTTTGCATGTGACTATCCTGTTGTCCGAACACCATTTGTTAAAAAGACTATTCATTCCCCCATTGAATTGATAGACACCATCAATGAAAATCAGCTATAATGTGTGGCACAATACAATTTTAGAACCATGTACGTACTAGAACTGTGAACTGCCCACTATAATAAGAGTAATACAAGATAAAGTTATTAACCTTAGACCATTTTAAAGATGGTTAGACTTGATCGTGTTTGCAATTCCAAATTTGGTGTGTATGTGGAAGTCGTGACAATGGGAAATGGTAAGGTATGGGTAAATGCAAACTATTTAATTCAAGGAACTTACTTGGCAAAATGGTCTTATAACGATTTTTAGTTCCATGACGTGGAATGTCAATTTCTTTGGGATCCACAAAGTTCATCGGTATTTCCTGCAAAAATGAATGATATCAAATTAGTACATCTAATGCTTCCACAAAGAAAATCTCCACAGGGGGGCATCTGATCTAAAGCTCTCTGGACTTCAAAGTCATTTATAAACAACAGCCTACCACCTCTGGCGGACCAACACCCTTCCTTCCATAAACATATCAGCGGCACCCTGGCAAGCTGACTCTGAGAAACAGTTCTCTGCGTTAGAAAGCTCTATTTTATACGTAGTTACTTGAAAAATATAAAGATTTGGTTAGATTTTAAGAATCCTGTTCTGTATAGTTGCTGAAAATATATAAACAGGAAGCTGAAAACTGATATTTTAGCAATGTATTCAAATTTCTTCAAATCTTTCTTTTCAGGACCCAAAATTTCTCTCTGATGAATTCTCTTTTGGCATTAATTGTGACTCTTTTAAGACTATTAAAACCTCCTTCTCTGAATGGCAAATATAAAGGGCTTTTGTGTTGATTCAAGTGATGACAGTGTGATTTTTTTTTTGTATTAAAAAATGGTCTATAATTGTTCTGTTCCTATTGTGGATTCAAATGCAATATTTTTAGTGAAGGGCATCCAGGCACTTGTTTTCTCCCACTTAAGAATATTCTTATTCAGTAAGAATATATTTCATATGTCTTAGATAATTGGAGTCAGAATAATGACAAGCAGAATTGGCTCTGTGGAAATGAGTTAGACACAAAAGGTGAGCATCTGTAGCTACTTGGCAAAAACACCAATAAGCCTGTGTTCAAAAGGGTGGAAACAAATATGCAAGCATTTGGTTATACAAAATACTATGTAGTAATTCTCTAACTTAAAATTCCACAAAGGATTGCTAAGATAAGGTTAATGTGAAATAAAATAACTGTTATTTCCATATTATATAAAGCAATATTTTTTGTTATTTAAACTCTCTCTCCTGAAAACTATACTCAAAAGCCCAGTAGTCATTGAAATAAAAGAAATTATCAATAAATTAGTTCAAATTGTCCTAGTTTTCAGTCGAGCTAAAATTTTGAGGAAAGCCTGACTAGACTATGAATTTGAGACTTGCTCTATAAAGAGGAGTAGCATTTTTTAAAAATATTTCCTAAACTTGCATTATTCTAGATAGTTATAATATTAATCCCTACTCTCTACTCTAACTAAAGGTTAAAATTCTCAGTCCAAGTTACCAAAATAAGCAAAATTGTTGAACAGTCAGTAGAAACCGCATATTCATGTTGGGCAATTTCAAAGAGGTCAGTCTGTTTTGGCAAAGCCACGGAGTCGGTGATATCTTTATTCCTCCTGTGCTCCTTCCTGCTTTCTGACTCACACTAATTTGTCATCTTCCAGCATTATCTCTCTTCTCAGCTGCCTTGTTGCCCCATCTTTCCTTTAAGGAAAGCAGGCTATGTTAAGGGCTCATCTTTTTTTTTTTAATCTGCACACTCCCCACTGGGGATGTGCCCGCAACCAAGGTACATGCCCTTGACCGGAATCGAAACTGGGACCCTTGAGTCCGCAGGCCAATGCTCTATCCACTGAGCCAAACCGGTTAGGGCAGGGCTCATTTTAAAGAACAAAGACTCTCTGTGATTCTAGAAAAGAATAATGGGTGTACCTTTGGCTAGTTGTGCAATCATTGACTAGTTGCTTTATTTCACTCAGTCTACACTACAAAGTCTACTTAAAAAAAACTGCATGTTTGTGTTTTACTTTAAACACTTAATAATCATTGACGAGGCTAATAGTAGATCTAATCCATTGCTGGATCTTTCACCATTAGGGTAGTTGAAATATCTGAAATGACCTGAGAATGATCAACTTATTACTCTCAATATTTATAGCTTAAGATGCACAACTGACATAAGATGCAAAGTGATCTACTAGTATAACATGGACATTCCCCTTGGGTAACAATTAGGCCAAAGAAGACTTAATCTGTATACATGTTCTCTGAGTAGAAATGTGTTATCATGAATTAAGTTATCACGGCAACCCCAAGTCACCATAATTTTTAGGTGAAACTCACAATCACTTTTATACCACATTTGATCTTCTTGTGTGTTCCATAGTTCATTAAAGAGCACCTGGTTGCTCAAGTAACAAAACCAGGGTATCGTCTCTGACTTGCTCTTCAAAGACAGCAAGGCTGTTCCCTCTTTCTGGAATGCTCTTCTCTGCCTGCTCCTCTTGCCAATCCTTTGCCTGGACATCTCCTCCATAGTCTGCCTCAATGGAGTTATCACATTCTAGTTTGAACACATCAATAGTTGATGAGCTACAGGGTAGATCTAAAACCTTGCACTTAACCTTTTAACTGTAACCATTTTTATTGTTCTGTGCAGGGTGGTGCCATCTTAGTATGTGCCTCTAGTGGCTCGTTTATCATAATACCTAACGAAGGGCAAATAATAACAGGCTCACCATGAATTCACTTTGGAGTAAATGTGAACTTGCCACGACGTCCCTCAGTTGTGATCTTGTGAGAATTCGGCTGGCTGACTGTAGATACTCCATTGCTACCTTCTCCCGTGGGGTTGGAACAGCCACGAAGGGTTCAACATTCCCTAAGCTGCTCATGTCCAATGTAAGAGACACGTTGGACCCTCTTCTGCATTGGAGAAGAATGGTATTAGGATTAAACACCACATAAATTATTTTGGTAGCATAAAATTGTCTTTTTGGACATACACACAATTCGATAAGCACCTTTACTGATATATATCCAAATATCTTTTTCTCTTATGATACCATAGTTGAGTACAGCAACTATTATTATTTTTAACTCCTTTGGATCATTGCACTAGGATTATGGGGACAGCATTCTGGATACCCCAAAACATCACCTACCTGTTAGAGGGACGTTTGCCCCTTCACTTGTTTTGTTTGTGTGCATGTTGGTGGTGAGCGACATGGCTCCTGTATATCTGGGTAAAAGGTCAACAGATGGAGAGGAGCAAAGAATGGTTCTGCTTTCAGGTTGAGAATTTTAATCTATTTTTAGTGGGAAAGCAGTTTTGACATTTTCTCAATCCAGTTCTTCTGGCCTTTAAATTGGCAGAAATTCCTTTGTGATTCTGATAATAGTTTTTAGTGTACTTGTGAGAATTCAGCTTCTGCTGGTTTCATAGGTCCTTTAGTAAGGGATTGATAAGCACACACCATTTTAAACCATTATTCTACTCAGTCAATTTTCAGTTCTAAAAGACAAAGGTATCTGCAATTGTCACCTGAATGACACCGAGTGCCCCAGCGGTTTAGTAGCAGGTAAGTAAGGTCCATCCATTCAGAGTGCTCAGAGCACATGCATGAAGTAAGAGGCATGAGAGTTGGGCCTTGAAAGTGAAAGTTCAATGGGTTCATTTGGGGTCGAGGGTTTTTTCAGATAGAGAGCCTGACAATAGAAAAAGTGTGGGAACAGGAAGTGATAAGCTATCTTTGAGAAATAGCATATAAGCAGTTTTTGGAATTGGGGGGACACAGTTATGTGGGAGAGGTGAGAGAGGCAAGAATCATAGAAACTGTAAGACCAGAAAAAGCCTGCTCAAAGCCCAGGAAAGAGAGCATTCAGAACATCAGCAAATATCAACTTCTGTTTTGGCTTCCCGCAGCATCCCAGCCCAAACCTGAGACGAGAAGCCTCTGAGATGCCAGGCTCCCTCTCCAGCTCCTGGCCTGAGCGTTGCCTTTTCTGATGGAGCCACAGCCGGCATCTGAGCAAACCCAGGTGTGAGGGGTCATGTGACCACATGGGAGAATGTGTGCGTGCAGAGCCATGCCTCTGGGTGGACAAACAGTGCTCCACACTCTGCCTCCTTTGAGATTTTAAAGAAAATAATCTCATGCAAGGAAAAATAGATAGACTTAGTGAGTAAATTTTCTAAGGCTTCTGTGATAAACAGCCATGAAAGCATTTCCATGCAAACTAACTTACTAAAGGAAGAATGACTTTTGTATGGCAAGAAAAGAAAGGAAATGAATATTTATTAAACACCCATTATTTGCCAAGCACCTGCTCTAAGCACTTTTGCACATGTATCTGAATCTTCACAGTAGCTCTCTGAGGGATTACTTGCACCCATTTCACAGGCGAAGAAAGGACTAATTTAGAAACACAATAGTGAAGCAAAGGTTCAACCCAACTTAGAATTTAAAACCCCAGCTCTGTCTGCTTTGTCACCCAAAAGCAAGGGTAGGGGGTGCAGGTCATGTTAGACTATACAGTTCCCTCCGTAGAGTTGAAGTCTATTATTGGGAGGAAGGTCAAGATTGACTGCGGTATAATGTGGAGGCAATACAGTATTCAGGGCTAAGAACTCAGTGTTTGCAATCATATTCATCTGGGCCCAAACCCTGCCTCTCCCATGGTGCTGTGGTGCACCTTTGGTCAGGCTATGTAGCCTCATTGCATCTCAGTTTCTTCCTCTTTTATTTTTATCCTCACTCGAGGACATAGAGGGAGAGAGAGAGAGAGAGAGAGAGATTGCCCTCCTTATGCATCCTGACCTGGGATGGAACCTGTAACCCAGGTATGTGCCCTGACTGGAACTGAACCAGCAACCTTTCAGTGCACAGGATGATGCTCAACCAACTGAGCCAATCCAGTCGGGCTCCTCTCTTTTGTAAAACACACAGTTAAGTGTACTTACTTCAGAGGATTATTACCAGGGGTAAACAGATAGTGTAAGTAAATGGCTTATAAAAAGCTATGCCTATCATTAAATTTAAGTAATAATGAATAAAGTCCTACTGAACTCCTACCTTCTGCTTCTCTAAGGGATCTATTTTAAGAGCTCTTCACAAAAACTTGAAAATTGTTTACATTGAGATTAACTTTAATATTTAAAAGTCAATGGATAGAATCTACACCTTTGTCACTAAAAAAATAAAAAAAAATATGTCTTTCTTGATTACCTATTTACCTTAAAATTTTCCTTTATTATGGCAAGTCCATTTCCTCTGAACCCTAAACAATTCCAGAGCACTTCACCCTAACACCTCACACAATGTCTCAAAGTTCGTTTAGGAAGTTAAGCTTGCACAGGCTGTTGCCCTTACAGAGTACATTGCCACAAAGCAGCCCTTGGCCTGGTAAGGCCTTTCCTATCCTGGCTGTGAAATATTACCATAGGATGCCCTTACCTTGGAGAAATCTCTGCTTTTGTTAATTCTTATATTTAAGGAGCAAACAATATTTAGTTTTATTGTAATGTGGTGGAATTAGGAAATTGTGTCAGTAAAATCAACTTAAAGTTTGAAAACTTAGTCATGTCTGATGCTTGAAAGGATTAACTACACATCCATACAGATTTTAAAACGTTATATTTTTTTGTTACAAAAACATGTTTATTGTAGCAAATTTGTATAATTCAGAAGTTTTTAAAGAGGAGTTAAAATCACTCAGTCACACAAACTTCACTAGCATTTAAACTGATTTTTAAATTTTGCTATTTTATAGGTAGTAATGGTTTATTGTTTTACTTTTTCTTTCTTTGGTTAGAGAGAAATACATTTTCATATAACTTCATTTATCAATCCTTATCTTTGAGAATTGTCTGTTCATGCTCTTTCTTAATGTTTACATTATGACATTAATGTATTTATTATTGATTACTATGATAGATAAGTTAGTAGTTAGTTTTTAAACATATCTGTTATAAATGTACAGTTTACTGTTGCCTTAAAATACTAAGGATTTTTAAAGTTATATTTATATTCAGTTAAACATATTAATCTTTTTTTATGTGGTTTCTTACATCATTCAACTTTTCCTGGAGTTAAGATTTTTAAAAAGCTAATCTTTTAACCTACTTGTAATTTATTTTGGGATATGGTAAAGGTGAGAATCACCTGGGTTTTCCCCCAAATAAATTATCAAAAATTTTAATACATTTACTGAACAATCTAGAGAAGATCTTTACATTTTTTTAGATATTAAGTTCTTAACTAGCAATTCTGACTAATGATCTGGAGAAGAAAATTACTCTTTACTGAAGTAAGAGAATGTGAATTTGTTCTACAGTATTCATAAACCAAAGTGATAAGAGGTGAGGACAGAATCAAAAAGACATTTAAAAAATAAAACAAATATAATAATTTAAGAGAAAATTCAAATTAAGATACAGGAAAAAAAAGGAAAGGATTTGGAGGGAAAAAAAATCAACAGAAATATTAGGACACCTGAACCTTTAATAAAAACAAAACGTAGAAGACTAAGAGCATCAACTCCTATTAAAAATCTGTTTCTGTGCTGTTGTGTGACTCTGGACAAACTGCTCAGACTTTTTTTATGCCTCAGGTTGCTGTTGGACAAAAGGAAACATAATAAAAAGCTTTATCAAGTTCCCACTGTAGCACCAATTATTATTTATGCCAAAAAATAAATAAGAGGGAGGAAATTCAAAAGATATCAATGCAAACAATTGAAGGAAAAAGCAAATTCTTAAGGAAAGGTAAAAGGAATGCAATAAACAGCATGTTAATGACAAGTAAGAAGGAATGCATGTATAAATAAATACTATGGACCAGGGCCACACATTAATTTCAGCAAGAGAATATAAACAAATCTCTGTTGAAACTGTTGAATCCTGCATCAGTGCTCCTAAGGACCAAAGGGTGGGAGGAAAAACACAGCTAAAAAACAAACAAACAAACAAACGAGACACTACATTTGAGTGTTGGAATAACTCAAAACTAGGCATTTATTTTCCTGGTAGTTGAGACTGTGTGCTGGATTTTAGAAGCTGGATTTTAGCAGGAGGGATAGGCTTTCCAGCCTGTGGCTCCAAGTCTCATATCTGGCTGACACTTTAGCAGTATCTTGGCCATCAACAGCAGTAAGACTTCAAGCCTGGCACCTCATTTAGTACCCAATAAGGAAAGGAAATGGGAGTCAGAAAATAAAGTGAAACAATGACCGTTTTGCCTGTCATCCAGGAAGATGTACTTTGGAAACTATTACATTATGAAATTAAGTTCCAGTGGGAAACGGTGGCAGCTGCTTATCTTGAAGTACTTGAAACCAGAACAGAAAAATATGCATCAAAAGATTATAAGAAGAATTAATAATTTAGGGCAAATGTAAGCAGATTTGATCTTTGAGAGCTTTTCCAATCATAATTCTTTTTGTTGTTCTGTAAAGAATAGTTTGTTCAGAGCTGTCTTTATTAATATACAACCGCCACGGTGAGAAGTTGGAAGTTTAAGTTTAAGATGGACATCCTCTCCAGATCTGAAATGTTGTGAGTCTGAGACCTTTGGTCCAACCTTCCCTCCTGGTGTGTTATAATCATAATGGTCACAAATTCGACACCCTTGGCTTAATCATAAAGGTGAGCTTCACCTCATCTCCCCAACTTGATTTTTCTGATTCAATTTTGCTCATTCAGTTTGTCCACAAATTTAGTTTTCTAAGGGGCTTCCAATTAAAAATAAAAAATATTTTTGTACATTTGTATAACAAAGGAGAAAACCGTGGTAAATGGACAGGCTTCCACAGTTCTTTGAAACTCCAGATTCTATCACTTTAAAACTCCAAGGGTGATGGTGTTTAAGGAACAGTTTGCTGTTTCTCTTCATGTCTTTATCTTCAAATAAATTATATAGAATGCT